TAAAAAAAAAATCTCAAAGAGGGAGAATGTAATATAGCAGATAGGCGATATGTGCATGCATACATGTGTGCGACTGTGTGTGGGGTGTGTGTGTGTGTGTGTGTGTTTTCAATGATATACATCTCTTCCTGAAAAACAGAGGTTTAACCAGAGGTGCATGGGGAGCTTCAAAGGTGGTGTGGACCTGACTTTTGTTTATACAGGTAGTATTATTTTCTGAAGAGAGGTTTCAACAGATTCTCAAAGGGTTTTTTGATTCCAGGAATGTTGAGAGGTTCAGATCATGGAAAAGATAGGATGAGAACAAGGTATAGGGCAGTGGGAGACTCCTGTTCAACAATCTCAGACCTCGTATTCTCCATCTTCTCATTGAATCAAACTGTTGAACAGAAGCACTCAGGAATACAGCACAGTGGTGACATTAAGCAGAAGCATGGGGGTGGGTTGTTCAGACTCATATTCTTCCTAATTCATTCTTATTCAATCTAAGAAGAAGGAGTAGTGTGCTTTGTGAATGCAGCTTCTAGACAAATTCCCAGCCTCCTGCAGTATGAGGCTGCCTCCAGCCTATCCTTCACAGAACATCTGAGAGTAACCAAAGAATAAAAGGAAATTCATAGGGTGGTTTTAGGGAAAAGAGAGTAAAGCTGGCCAATCAACTGGCAGAGGTGGAATTGATAGGCCAGGTAACCCTTCTGGTTTCCTCATTTTATAAAACCATAAAAGAAACATATTGAACCAGAAGAGTCCAAGTAATCTAGTCCCGTAATCCTATCATTTTAAATTTTTTGGTGGCCCAGATTTGCTTCATTTGTGTACTTCCTCCAGCAGAACTCCAAAACAGGAATCTTGCACGGCTCAGATGGACATGGAGATATGGGATAGGACAATGAATATCAATGTATATTTTCTGACTTCCAAGCTGGCCAGGATGGAGCTATTTTACCAATTATGGAATTTCAGGAGGTCCACTAGACCACTACCACCACTTCTGACACTGAGATGGAGCGGAGATCTGTGCAGTCTAAATATCAAGGAATGGTGAAATGGAAAGTTTCTTCTTGTGGGATATCAGTGCTGTTAGTAAAGTTGAATCCTAATTTTGAAATGGCTAAAATTCCAAATTTGTGATGATGTCTATAGCATGTATGAGTGAGGTGCTGTTAAAACCAAATGCCAATCTTTATGAGAGAACCAATGGGAATGTGTACTTCCAAGGTTCTGACTTTCTTTCCTACATGGAAAAAGAATCAGATTATCATCCTCAAGAGATAAGCATAGTTCCTAAGAAGGAAGAAGTTCCTTCCTGCTGCATTAATGTCAGGTTTCATAGCAGTGTAAGAATTGTTTCCAAATTCAGCCTCAATGACCACAATCTATGACAACTATTCAAATGACTTACACGATTTCCTCTGTAGAACCCAGTGCTTTTCTCATCTGTGTGTAAGGGAGCCACCTGGTGTCAAAATAGATCTCTACAACCACAATGCACTGATTAAGATGGAGAATTTTGCAGAATTCAAGAAGCTGACAGCAAGTAATGTTAGGAGAAAGTAAACCCCAGTACCCTCTGTTTTGGAAGTCAGAAAATATCATTAAGCTCTTATCCATTTATCACACTTTGAAATTCTCAAAGAGGGTGTGATACGCTGGAATTAGCAACATGGTCTGTAGCAAAAAATTGTTTCTGCCAATTTTCTTCTTGGTGGTTTTGTAATGTTATTCTTCCCCCTGAACTCATTTTTGCCTGTCCCAATCCTACCCAACCTGGAAGTCAACTAAGTCTTACTCCTCCCTGAATATTGCCCGCATCTCTAGCTCATAGAGGCCTCTCCTGCCTGCTTGGACCCTGACACTCTGCTTGATCCCTGAGCCACAACTTGAGGAAACTGGCACTTTTCTCAAACAAACACTGCTTCATCATGACATATACAGATAGCATTTACCATATGCCAACACTCTCGTAAGCACTTTAATTAACTCATTTAATTTTTTAACCATCCTAAGAGGTATTTTGTGGGGGGCGGGGGCGAGGGGTACCAGAGATTGGACTCAGGGGCACTCAACCACTGAGCCACATTCCCAGCCCTATTCTGTATTTTATTTAGAGACAGGGGCTCACTGAGTTGCTTAGCACCTTGCTGTTGTTGAGGCTAGCTTTGAACTCACCATCCTCCTGCCTCAGCCTCCTGAGCAGCTGGGATTACAGGTGTATGCCACTGTGCCCAGCCTAAGAGGTATTTTTATGATCCCCATTTTGGAAAAGAGGAAACTGAGACCTAAAAGTTTGTTTTTTTTTTTTAATTGCCCAAGGCCATCAAGGGTATTGAACAATGGCACCAAGATTTAAACCCTTGCCATCTGCCTTCACGGCTTCCTCATAAGAACCCAGTGGATGGAGACTATGTTCTAAAATTCATTTGACCTTCCCAAAGTACCTAGCTAAGTGACAGTATATTAGGGACTGATTGTCATAGTTTTATTATAGTTTACCAATTTTCTAGCATAAGTCCCAAGAAAGAAGGTAGTTTTTCCCAATTTATCAGGTTGATAAAAGAGCAAGTCCAAAGGATACTAATAGAATAATAGGGAACTTATGCTGCACACATACTATTAGCCTGGCACTGTGATACATGTTTTATATATTATTTAATTCTTACAATAAGTCATTTCAGAGAGGTACCATTATGCATATTTTGTAAATGAGAAAACTGAAGCACAGAGAGGTGAAGTAACTTGCCTGAGATCACAGACTATAGCCTATGCCTGACCTATATGCTATCATCTCATACCTCCTGTGTCAGGATGTTTATTTGCAAGGGCATTCAGAAATTGTGTAGAATATACCATGAGAAAGATGTCCTCTGCTATTGAGCAAAAACTCTTTATCTTGCAGGATTAGTACAGGACAAAGACTCTCTGTAGAAGGTCTGCACATTCCCAACCATGGATGGCTCTTCTCACTAATTACTGTCATCATCACTGAGCCAACCTCGTGGGGGCACTGCTCACCTTTAACCCGGCTTTTATTTGCTTGCCTTTGAAACTCACAGCAATCCTGAGGCAAGACTGGGACATTTCCATAAGATTTGACTAAATGCCAGAGTAATCAGGCCAATGGGGAAAGAGCACAGCACAGAGCACCATAGTCTGGTTACATAACGGGGCCTGTGCGCACTGGACAGCATGAAGAAACTGGCCCCTAGAGGGCTGGGTCCAGGAGAGGTGGAAGTTTCCTGTGATGAGAATTCAGAGTTCCTGTTTCCTATAAGCCCTCTTGCTCCGTATGTGATCAACACTGGAGATAACCACTTTGCCAGAGAGATGCCTCCTTTTCAGCCCCTTGCTCTAGGAATGAGACCCATTACAAAACATTTTGTTTAGAGACAGGGTCTCACTGGCCAAGCTACTTCAACTCTCTAAGTCTTAATTATATCACTTATCAAAAATAGTGTTTTGGGGCTGGGGATGTGGCTCAAGCGGTAGTGTGCTCACCTGGCATGGGTGCGGCCCAGATTCGATACTCAGCACCACATACAAACAAAGATGTTGTGTCTGCCAAAAACTAAAATGTAAATAAAATATTTTAAAAAATAGTGTTGAGCTCATAGAGTTGTGGTTGAGGTGAAAGGAGATAAGGCTGAAAAACGATTAATGCAGAATCCAGCATGCTAAGTGCTTACTAAAAGCATCGCTTTTTATTAGCTAGTTATATCATTATTTCTATTAAAATTCAGGTATTCTGATCCAGTCTCGTGTCTTTTCTACTACATTAAACTGCATATCCCCTGAAGAAAAAAAATAAATATAGGTTCTTTAATTATTGATTTGAAATGTTATTGATGTTTTATCCAAACTCAATATAGTGTCTACTCACTCCCCAGACATCTGGTCACTCAAGTCCTCATGTGTCTACCCAGGTGACATCATATTGGCCATAGATAGTCCTTTGAGAAATGGACATTGCTTACTTGACATCGCTTACTTAGGAAGACCCTACAACCATTTTACCTCTTCTGATCCATAAAATAGAGATGAGAATGCTCCTCAGACACAACTGGAAGCTCATGACAGATATGAAGTCACTTTGAAAAGCGAAATGTCTGCAGTAAAATTAGGCATCCAATGGAGTTAGAGAAGATAATACTAAGTGAAGTTAGCCAACCCCAAATAACCGAATGCCCAATGTTTTCTCTGATATAAGGAGGCTGATTCATAGTGGACTAGGGAGCAGGAGCACGGGAGGAATAGACGAACTCTAGATAGGGCAGAGGGGTGGGAGGGGAAGGCAGGGGGCATGGGGTAATTAATGATGGTTGAATATGATGATTATTATTGTCCAAAGTACATGTATGAAGACCCGAATTGGTGTGAATATACTTTGTATACAACCAGAGATATGAAAATTTGTGCTCTATATCATGTAATAAGAATAGTAATGCATTCCACTGTTGTATATTAAAAAATTAATTAATTAATTTTAAAAACTAGGCATCCAAAAAACTGTTTTTTGGTTGTTTTTTTTTGCAAAAATTAGGCAACTCCTAAGATCATTATCTATTTGTAGGCTTTGAGAGTTGGGTTATTATGTAAACTTTGATCCAAATAAAATATTTAGTTCTTTTTGATTTTTAGAAGAGCAAACAGTTTAGGAAGGTGTCTGAATGGTGGAATGTGAAAGAATTTGTCAGGGAAGTGAACAAATGAAGGAACCTTCTGAAGCTTCCTGCGTGCTGTGTGCCTAAGTGTAACCCACCCCTGTGTCTGTCCTTTGTGGACTCTCCCTACCTACCTTCACTTGCTCTCCTTTCTTTCCCATCTTCCTTTCCTCCTCCTGCCTTTCTGCTCTCTCCCCACCAGGCCTTTCCCTCTCACTTTGTTCTGGAGGATGTTATTTAATATTAGCTTCTACACGGATAAAACATTTCTGCTTCATACACTTAATATTATATTATTCTTTTATTTGTGTAGATTGTTCCACATTATCTGAGAAGAAAGAATTAAATATAAAGGATTTTATTATTTGCAAAGTTCTTTCACTTGTGTTATCTTGTTAATCCTTAGGTTCTCTCAAAATCCTATTAGAAAATAGCATTTCAAATTACAGCAATAGATAATGATAGCAAAAAAGCTTTCATTCTGTTTTTCCTTAATAGTCAGATGTCTCTCAACTGAGCAAAAGGGGAGCTTCCTGCCTTGGGGATGTGGAGTTTCACTTGGTTGATTTAGTTCTCTATTCTCCGATGTTGCTGTGGACATCTTCCTGTGGCCCGTTTTGCAGATGTTCATGATCATGATATTGCCTGTAAAATAAATTCCCAATTCTCTAGTAGGGTGTTAGAAAGCCTCTATGATTAACCCCTGATCTTTCATTCCGACTTCATTTCTCACAAGCCCCCTCTAGGTACCACACTAGATTACATTTTCCTAGTGGTGCCTTTCCTCATACATTTCTCTCTGCTTAGATGACCCTACTTTTTTCCTCAGCAGACCTGACAATTGAAATTGGACTTGTGCTTCAAGGCCCAGAGATAAACTAGCTGCCAGGCTTCTTGGAATTCCCACTGCCTTTTGTTCATACCTCAGTTGGGCCCTCCCCAAATTGGGCATCATGTTCTATTCTTACAGTGTGTGAACCTATCACCTCCCACTACTGTCTAGTGTTTCCCTGGGCCCCTCAAACCTAGCACAATGACTATGGACACTAGGTTTTTCTGTGAATGTGTTGTGAATAACTGAATCTACTGTCTTCATCAAAATTCCCTAAGAGCTGGGAAAAACAACAACAACAACAACAAAACGAGTTTTAAAAAGATTTCATTTATATTTCTATTCCACTTAAGAATTAAGTCACCTTCCTTATTTGGTACCAGATTTTACTTTAGCATATATGACATGATGTTCAATATGCCACTGCTGAGTGTTTCTCTGCCTAAAATCAAAGTTCTGGAAAAAATAAAAACCATCTGCCATAGGTACTTATTCAGGCACTGCATATAAGTGTAAGGATTCATCAAACATGACTCTGAATCTGATGCCAACTTTTAAGAAAGCTGTGACATGGCCTCAAGGATGCCTGTACTTTTAAATTTCAGTCATCTAGAAAATGCTCCAAATTATGCATTTCTCTGCAATGGGTCATAAAATGTGACATTGATGTTACGGAAAAAATTACATTTGGATCTATAATTGAAAGAAAAACTGATGGTATTTTTAGGAAAAGCCTCTCTAACTGAAGAAAATAGGAATATAAAATTACTTTATTGGGGTTTCATTAAGACTCAAGCCATCTGATCCACTAATGTCTCAAGTTTATACCAGGGTGACATTATAACCACAGATGGTCCTTTGGGAGGTAGATATCACTCAGGAAGAAAAGTAATATATTTGTGGCTCAGATTTCTTAGCAACATAAGAAATTAATTTTTCTAAAATTCAAAAGTGATTTCTTTAAATGTTACTGTGTTTTCCATTTTCAAGTTCAGAAAAATTTCCCCAGTCAGATGTTCTCGCTTTTCCTTTTATAACCTTTTCTTGCGACCTTACAAAATGGCAACACTTTTTCTCTTATAGGACATACTATGTTTAAAAAGAAACACATTTTTTACAGTGGCAGAAATACTAAGTTGAATTTATGTAAAGTAGGCACCAGTGAAGCAAGCTAGGTGGCCTCTGCCCTGGATTATAAAGGGACAGCTGTGAAGATGTGTTCATAATTAAGGAGATAGCATCGTCACCTTTCCTGTCTTCTCCATCCCCTTCTCCCTCTGCAGAAAACCTCAATGTCCTCCACGACTTCCTTAATGATATCTAAGCACAAATACAGTCATTCTCCAAAAAGGGTCACTCATGCTTTCCTTTTAAGTAGAAATGAGGGTAGGTGTTCAATAAAAACTTCCCAAAACTGAGTTTCTGGCTTTTCAGAAGGGATGGAACACAAGTTAAATCTTCATAAACACCTCTTGGGAGTTAAAGCAAGTTTATGTATTTATTCCTCATTAAAATGATATCTGAGGTCTTTCTTCTTCTCTTTACCTGTAGCTTTTCAACATGGGTCCTCCCTGACCCCCATCTCATTTCTTGCCCTACCTGTTCCACAAATAAATAGCAAGGTGAACATTAAAGTTTTATTACAGCATGAGGGACATTTTTGATGATTTGTATTTGAAGTACTTTAGAAGTTCATTTTGGGCAACGTGCCAGAGACTTTTTAGAGGTTTGTTTTTTTGTTTTTACCCAGGATTAAACTTGGAACACTCAGTCACTGAGTCAAATTCCCAGCCCTATTTTGTATTTTATTTAGAGACGGGGTCTCACTGAGTTGTTTATTGCCTTGCTTTTGCTGAGGCTGGCTTTGAACTCCCCATCCTCCTGCCTCAGCCTCCCAAGCCACTGGGGTTATAGGAGTACACCACCATGCCTGGCTTAGAGTTTTAACACTAAAACTATTTCTTCTAGGTATTCTATATCATCACTCTCCTTTTATTAATGAAGTAGATTTAAGTTTGGAAGGTTGGTCAGTTTAACAAAGCACTTTGAAATTCTTGTAGTTATATATTAGGTAGTGAGGCCTTAGTGAGAACCTGGTTCATATAGATTTCTTATTCTTATTTCAGAGAATCAAACCTTATCACCTTTGATGATTTAATAATTTTTTCTTTAATTTTCTTTTAAATTTTAACCACTAGGTCAAAAGAAGGGTCCAACTTTTCTGAACCTAGTCCAAGATAACTACCTAATGAGTCTAAACTTAATAATAGTAGTTGGCATATTATCTCACAAATATGTCACTATATTTACATTGAGATTTAAAGATATCCTACTCTGTGTGTGTGTGTGTGTGTGTGTGTGTGTGCGCGCGCGCGCATGTGGAGATATTATATAGTCTCTGACTTATAAAGTTTTCAACACATTCACTAGAAACTGTACTTCAATTTTTTTAAAAAAAATTTTTAGTTGTAGATGGACACAATACCTTTATTTTTACCTTTATGTAGTGCTGAGGATCAAACGTGGTGTCTTACACATGCAAGGCGACCACTCTACCACTGAGCTACAACCCCAGCCAATGTACTTCAATTTAATTTGAATCTTTCCCCAGCTAGCAAGATGATGCTCATACTCTATAGGGATTCTGAACAGCAGCATCAAACTGCAGCTTCCAGTCAAGCAAGGGATCACAAGATAAAACAACCAATAGTCTATGGTGTACTGTGTTGCTATGATATTTGGTAAGTTAGATGTACTAAATGCATTTTTCATTAAATGCAGTTTTTACTTGATATTTCTTACAATGAGTTTATCAATTTACCACAGTGAATTGAGGAGCATCTATTATATATGCATATTTTTTATCCAATATGCACATTATATCCATGGCACTAAATACCATCTGCAGATGAAATTGATTAATCATTTAGATGTCTGATAAATATTCCAAATGCCTGATATTTTCCTCAAAACAAGCTCCATCTGCAGCTTTCCCATTGGGTCAACAGCAACCCCAGCCTCGGATTATTCAGTTGGTTTTCTTGACTCATGTTCTACACCCAGTGCTGACCACTGCTCACCATGTCCTGGCCACCAGAATCTCTCCTGGAAACCACTGCCATTTGATGCTCTACTTCGACCTTGTCTCTTACAGTCTATTTTCACAGAGCACTAGAGGAATCCTTTTAAATTGTAACTCATGCCACTCACCTCAAAACCCTAAAATGGTTCCCCATCCCTCAGAAGATATGTCAATGTCTGTACAAGTCCTACATTGATTGGCTCCCATTTCCTTCCTGTTATTCCAGTTCATTCTGCTTAGACTCCCTGGTCTCTCTGCACTCACCAGACACACTTTTGCCTTAGAAATGGTTTTAGCTCCCTCCACCTGGAACTCTTTCTCTCAGATTCTGTTTTGGCTAACTCCCTCGCCTCTAAGTGTTTGTTCAAATCTTGCCTCCTTCTTTCCACTCCCAGCCCTCTGATCTCCCATACCCTGCTCTATTTTCTCTTTTACCCATTGAACTTTCCAGTTTCCAATATACTCTGTAATATTTGTTGTTTATTGGCAGTTTGCCTTAATAGGAGGTAAACTACACCATGGTTGAGATCTTTTTCTATTTTACTTACGATAAATACTAAGTATAGTATGATGCCTAACACAGAAGATTCTCAAAAAGTATTTGTTGAATATGTGAATAAATTATACTCTGTGCTGTTTTGCATCTTGACTTTCCACTTAACAGCATATTCATTTAACATATGTTCTTAAAAAAATTCTTTTTTTTAGGAGAAATACAAATTAAGAACTTTCTCTGCTATCCCAAAAGCATGGGAGAAAGGACAGAGAAGAGCAAGGCAGGGGAAAGTGTCCTAGGAAAAACAGTCTCTAATGTCTCTTCCAGGTGGGGGTAGAGGGGGCACCTTGTCTCCAGGCGGCTCCTGATGCCTTCCTGATTGGAATCCATAGGGAGAAGCCAGAGGCAGTCCATGCCTGGCTGAGGCTCATGCCATGATGTCAGGATCCATGAGCTGTCCATTGGTTTTGTGTCTGTCTCAGTTGTCCACTTTCGCTGGAGCCACTTTGTTCCTGAATACAGGTCTGTCCTCCAGGCCACAGGCAGCAACATCTTCATAGAATACAGGCAGCCACCCTTCTAGCCCTTGGTGTCATCACAGGTACCGGATGTGGTCCCTCCATCGGGTTGCCTGGTAGAGGAGGAGTTTTCTTCTGACAATGTACCCTGGGAGGACTTGCTGCTCTCTGCATCCCACCCACTTATGATTGTCCAGGAGCTGGGTGTGGAGGGTGCTGGGACACGCTGGGAGGCTGTGCTGGGAGTGGGGGTCCTCACATGCAAGCTGCAGAGAGGAATGGCAGGCAGGCTGGCTCTTCTACCATCCTTCTGCCCTGATTGCTTAGTGGTCTCAGGCAGCTGACAGAGGGCAAGAAGAAGGAGGCGAGAAGGGCAAGCTCACTGGCAATCCTCTTTGAGTGGAGGGGGTGGGTGGGTGGAGTATGGGCAAGGTTCTTCTGAATGCACAGGCTTAACTTGGAAAATGAAGCCTCTCCTTCAAGTTATCTGGTGCTGGAGTTATCAGATATGTAGCCATTGCCTCATCAAATTTTCTGGTTGCCAAAGATAGTTCAGGTATTGTATGGTTCATAACCCTGTCAAACATGGCTGTCATTATTCTGGGGTCTGGGTGTTTGTAGTGGCTTGCTAGAATGACTTGGTGAATATTCCCCATTCTGGCTCAACTCCGGGTGTCCCATGGTCCTCTATTGGCCTCGGCATGGGGTTCACAGTCAGTATTTGACTGATGAGGCTTCATACTTTGGTGGAAACATGAAGGGGCATGTTTTACCTGTGTGTACAACCTGTTCATTGAGCTGCGAAGCAGTGGTCCTGTTAAATGTGAGGCACACCGTGACCATAAAAGTATAGAAGGACACTCTAGATATCCACATTAGGGCTATCATATTCTTCTGCTGAAACACATCCACATTAGGGCTATCATATTCTTCTGCTGAAACACATTCAGCTTCTGTGTAACTAGTGAGTTTATCACTCACGAATCCACCAGGATGTTCACCGGCTTCAGATCTCTGTGTACGATGCCTATCTTGTGGCCCTAGAGCATGGTGCATATGATCTGCCTGAACACTCTCCACGCCTCCCCCTCCAGGAGGTGTTGCATTAATTGTCCCCCACCTGTCTGCTCCAACATGAAGTACATGTTCTCACTGGTCTTAATGACTTGAAACAGCTGGATCACATTTGGGTGTTTCACCATCTCCATTATATCCTCTTTGGATGTGATGATGGGGAAGTGTATTAGGACATTCATGGTCACCTCTGATCCTGTGAGGAGATGTCGGGCTAATTTCACCTGAGCAAAGCCACCCTGCCTGATGTCCCTCAGAACCCTATAATGGTTGGTGAGGGTCTCCTCATTGGAGGAGCTGGCTGAGAGTAGTCACTATTCTGACTACTCTCACTACACATCGGAAGCAGCAACACCAACTAAGGATTGCTAGTTAAAAAAATATATATATTTATGATAAAGTCAAAAGTGCAAAAGCACCAAATTACCAAATGAGCTAGCTAACTATCTGTGAGTCTGACAGGCAAGGTCTTTACCAAGAGCTCCCTGTGTGTATGTGTGTGTGTGTGTGGGGGGGATAAGCTACAGCTGTACAGGTGTTTCAAATTCCCTCACAGTGGCTCCTTGTGAGATCAGAGCAAGAAACGGCCCAATCACAGTTGGGCATAACCCGCCGTGGTTGTCCCTTTTTGGCCTCTAGGACCTTTTCCACTTTAATAAGGATTCCAGAAGCTTTTTGCGTCTATGGAGACAGATATTTAGTTGTTTAAAAATTAAAGTTTGTAGAATACTTCAATGGCTTGAGTCTGAAAAATCTGTAATAATTTTGGCTTTTGAAGACCTCATTGTATCTACTCTCAAGGTATTCAATTCCGTTTTTTTTTTTTAACTCAGGATAATTAATGTCAAAAGAATGGCACCACTTCAGTCATTGTGATGCTCTAACAAAATGCTCTGTTCCCTAAGATACTATAGAGCAAGTTATTAACACGAGGCTGGGGGGGAGGGAGCTTCCATCACAATTTTTCCATAAGGTCCTCACCAGATTTCTCATCAGAAACCCTGGAACCCAGAAGGGAGTGAGTTGATATACTCAAAGTGATGGAGGACAAAACAAGAATCCGGTGGTAGGTCAAAGTGTTCTTCCCATAGGTGGGAGAAATGGAGGCATTCCCAGATGCCTTGGTACTCTCATGCTGCTGTAAGAAAATACTGGGTAATTATTAACAACAGAAATTGACTCCTCACAGTTCTGGAGGCTGACAAGTGCAAGGTCAAGGTGCTTGAAGATTCAGTGTGGGGAGAGGGCTGGCAGGTCTTCTAATGTGGCACTTTGTTGCTGGGTCCTCACATGGTGGAAGGGATGAAATCACTCCCTCTAGCCTGTCCCGGCTTTCCTTCTTTCCTTTGTCTTTTTGTTTTTCTCTTTCTACTGGTGATTGAACCCAGGGCCTTGCACATGCTAGGCACGGGCTCTACCACTGAACCAGAGTCTGATTAGGTTGCTGATCTCCAACATATGATCCCCCTGCCTCAGTTCCTGAGTAGCTAGGGGGATTATAGGGCTATGCCATTGCACCCAGTCTGATGAATGTACTTTTGTTCATGGGCAGTGCTGAGGATTGAATTTCGGCCCTGTGCACACCATACAAACACTCTTAAGGCACACATCTTGTCTGTTAGGTTGGAGCCTCAGAGCCTGAACAACTGAAAAATCTCATCTCTCAAACTGCCGCACTGGGGTTGAAGTGTCAATAGGAATGTGGAGGGACACACACATTCAAACCACAGCATCAGATAGACAGGAGTTGAGGGAATAAGTCACCACAACACATACCCTGAGTGAGACTGGAACATTAGACTGGAACCCAGAGCTCACAAGGTTGCTTTGTCAAAGACAGAGGGACTCTAGGTATGTAACAAGTCTCTTATCTGCAAACCCCATTTTCAGTTCATAGATGAATTCTTGACATGAAATCTGTCAGCTTACTTTTAAGACTGCCCGTGGTAGAAGCACTGTTAATATTGTGTATCCCCATTTCTTTTTGGATGCTGAAATTCTTTTTACCTGTAAATTCGTATCTTCCAACGTCTTTTCAAAAAGTTGTTAGACTTCATTCTCTGACGTGGCTTCGGATGTTTTTCATCATCTCTGAAGATGCCAATGAGCAATCATTGTTTGCAAATGCAGTCTTCAGGTTAGGAAGAGGAGGTAGGTCTCTTTGTTGTTCAGCAAACCACCCATTAGTGTCCTAACGTTTAAGAGAAACTTGGGGCGTTTCTTCCCAGATTCCTCGGTCCGCTGGGCAGGCAGGGGTGTGGCGGGAGCCCGGGCAGAGCAAAATCTTGCTTTCGTGGCAGCTGCCAAGCCGCGGAGGAAGGAGAGTGGCCCCAGCAGAATCGCGGGCCGGGTGGCGCAGCCACTGCTGGTACCACCTTATCTTTGTAGGCAGCTCAGAGGGGCGAAGAGAAGGTAACGGTTCAGTTGGTCGCGATCCGGGTTCCGCTGCCCACGCGGCCCGCGCAGCCCGCCCAACCGCTGCAGTCCCGGCAGCTCCAGCACACTGGAAGCTTCCATCACCGTGGGTCCGCCCCCTTGGAAATTTCTTATCAGTGCATTCATTTTTTTTCACTCATTTTTTTTGAAGTTTATTATTTCATGTAAAACTATATCATACTCTACACAACCTTTCTTTTCTTTTCCTCTGAGAAAAGGTTTTACTAAGTACTCAGCCTGGGGGGATGAAACATAATGGTAGAGCGCTTGCCTAGCATGCTCAAGGCCTTGGGTTCAATCCCTAGCACTGCAAGTAAATTAAAATATAAATTAAAAATTGCCCAGGCTGGTACTGAACTTGTCACTCTTCTGCATTGGGTTTACAGGTGAATGCCACCAGTACTTTGGGACTTAACCAGCTCCATTAGCCCCTCCCTCCCTTCCTCCCTCCCTCCTTCCTTTCTTCCTTCTTTCCTTTCCTCCCTGAACAACTGAAAAACCTCATCTCTCAAACTGCCGCACTGGGGTTGAAGTGTCAACAGGAAGGTGGAGGGACACACACATTCAAACCACAGCATCAGACAGACAAGAGTTGAGGGAATAAGTCACCACAACACATACCCTGAGTGAGGGGAGTCCTTCAGGCTGAACTGAAGGACATTAGACTGGAACCCAGAGCTCACAAGGTTGCTTTGTCTTTCCTTCCTTTTTTCCCCTTCCATCCTTCCTACCTTCCTTCCTTAGTTCCCTTTCTTTTTCTTTTTGTACTGGGGATGGAACACAGGGTGCTTTGCTACTAATTGCCCCCCCCCACTCACCCCGTTTTTAAAAAATTTTGAGTCTGGATCTTGTTAAATTGCTGAGATTGGCCTTCAACACGTGATCCTCCTGCCTCTCCAGTCTCTGGGTTACAAGTGTGCCCTACCACGGCAGGCCATTTAGCTTGTTTCTTTTTCTTTTTTTAAAAACAAATAATACTATATGGAAATCTGGTCCATATGTTATTTTGTATGTGAACATATATAGGATAAAGTCCTAGAAGTGAAATATCTGGGTCAAAAGAAATATGCTTTTTCATTTTGATTTGCCAAATTGTCATAAAAAAATTGTACTATTTACCTTATACCTCCAGCAACATACAAGTGTTCGTTTCTTCATAATTTCACCAGTAGTTCTATTTTAAAATTATTGTTATTGTCTTTACCAGTATGAAAGATAAAATAATGACTTCTCAGTAAAGTTTTAATTTTCATTTCTTGGATTTTGATTGGTTGGAAAATCCTATATTTTAATGATGTTTGATTATTTTTTGTATTTCATATATATATTTCCTATGAAGTTGTTGATCTATTTCTTATTGAATCCTAAGAATTCTGTATATAGTACATAAATTATCCCTTTGTCTATAATAGGAAATGCAGATATTTTTCTCTGGCTCATGGTTTGTTTTGACCTTGCTTATGGTATTTAAATTAGGACAATTAAATTTTTTTCTACAAAGTAAATTCATCCACTTTTTAATTATTACTTTTTCCTTCTAGGTTTTACTTTAATCATAGAAGGTTCTTTTCAATTCGATTTATTTAAAAATTCTCACATCGGGGAGCTGGGGACGTGGCTCAAGCGGTAGCGCGCTTGCCTGGCATGCGTGCGGCCCAGGTTCGATCCTCAGCACCACATACCAACAAAGATGTTGTGTCCGCCGAGAACTAAAAAAAAAAATATATATATATTAAAAATTCTCTCTCTCTCTCTCTCAAAAGTAAATAAATAAATAGTAAAAAAAAAATTCTCACATGGGAAGCTAGAGAGAAAAAAAGGAAAATAAAGGTGTGGGAAGGGATCTCATGAAAATCAAAGGGAGGTCAGTAGATTAAAGGGACCAGAGGGAGGATGGAAGGGAGGGAAAAGGGAAATGATAGCGAATGATATTGGCCAAAGTATATTGTTAAGTTTTGTGTACATGTATGGATATGTAGCAATGAATCCTACCCACCATTATATGTAATTTTAATGCACCTATGAAAATGGGAAAAAATTCTTACATGGCATCTTCTCACACTTTGCTTTTCATTTTTATTCATTATTGTTTTATCTGTTTGGAATACGTTTTGATGTATTGTGAAAGAAGATCCAATAATTTATGCCCTCAATGACTACCCTGTTGTCCTCAAATCATTAATTGAATAAGTCATCTTTTTCTACTATTCCAAAATGCCATCTTTGCCATAAACGAAATCAATAAATGCATGTGTAAGTACCCCTGTGTCTACTTCTGGAACTTCTAATCTGTACCATTGATTCCTGTGTCCGGTTTGGGTTTCTACTGATATATGGTGAAAAAGCTAGTGCACCATCATTGTGTTTATTCTTGCAGCTTATGGATTTGTCCAGATTTTGAATCGGTTTGTCTGTTACCTTTCAAAACAATATCAATACCAAAACCACCATTGCCACCACTAGTAGTAACAATAAGAAGCACCATCCTGTTATATTTTTGTAGGCTCCTATTACATTCATATACTTCAGTTCCAATCTCTGCTATTGTCTTTTTTAAAAAAAAATATTTTTTAGTTGTAGATGGACACAATACCTTTATTTATTTATTTTTATGTGGTGCTGAGGATTGAACCCAGGGCCTCACATGTGTTAGGCAAGTGCTCTACTACTGAGCTACAACCACAGCCCTCAGCTATTATATTTAACACATTTTGCTCACTGAAAAAGTCTTTTCCTGTTTTGCTTCTGAGTTATTTCTTCCTGGACTTCTGGTTGCAGGTGCTAGCTTAGTTTTTCTTTCATCTCTGGATTGGGCTGTTGTTCTAGGGTCTGCACCTGGGCAAGCCTCATGTCCTTCTATTAATTTTTCCCCCTTATCAGTTCATGTTACAGCATAACTTGAAGTAGTTTGTTCAAAATCATAATTTTAAGGGACTTACCAAAATACAGCTTTGATGAACTGTTTTTAGAAGTCTTATAATCTTGGAACAATTTTTCAGTCATTCCAATTCAAACTATATTTGGTGATTCTGACCTTTAAATGTGTAAGTATACTTTCCACTTGAGCTCTGTAAGATTCAGACAAACAACTGGTGTCTATGCAACCACACAGGTGAAGTGCATATTCTGTCTTGCAGCTTTACATTCTTTAGCAATGTGCTTAACATCTGTAGTCAATAAATATTCTCCATGGGGCAAAAGAGGAAAAAAAAATTTAAATACAAAATTCTTACGTTGAATAATGTTTTATAAAGTACAATGTTTTATAAAGTAAAATTTTTTAAAAGCCAAAATAAAATTCTACCTACAATATACTTTAAAGTCTACAAGCATAAAGTATAATTCACACACACATAGGAATACATAAAAACACTAAAGATACCAAATATGACCAAATTGGCATATTGTAGAATCTGAATGAGGAGTTAAAAAAGACTATATATGACTCTAGTCATATTCTCATTTCTATGGGGGTGAAAAATACATTTAGAATAATTTTCATATCCTACACTTTCTATTGAATCCTTCTGTGACCCTGTGGGCCAGGTACAATTATTATTTCCATTTTTTAAATGAGAAACCTGAAGCTCACTAAGCAATTTTTCCAAAGCCATCCTTAACTGGTTGGCTTTTGTATACATTGGATCATATAGTAGTATTCTTTTGAAGACTAATTTTTAAATTTATAGAATATTTTTGGGATTCCTTTTGGGTTGCATATATCAATAAGTTACTCTTTATATTGTTAAGTAATATTCCATTGTGTGACTATGCCACAATTTGTTCATCCATTTGCCAATTGATGTGACATGGGATATTTCCATTGAGAGCCATTATAAAGTTGCTATGAACATTTGAGTACAGGTCCTTATGTGGACATAAGGTTTAATTTATTATTTTACACACACACAAACACACACACGCACAGAAATTTGTCCTTGAGATTTTAGAATCTACTTTGCAAACAAATCATTTATTCTCTAACGTGGAGAGGACTTAGTACTAAACAAGAATATCAGCCAGACAAGAGGGCTCAAATGCCAAGGACCCCAAAATCAATCTATATCTATGTCTATATCTCTGTGTGTGTGTATTTTTCTGGTAATGGGGATTGAACCCAGGGGACCTTTACCACTGAACTACATCCCCAGCCCTTTTTAGTTTTTGAAACAGGGTCTTGCTAATTTGATCAGGCTGGCCTCAAACTCGTGCTCTTCCTGCCTTTCTATTGAATCCTTCTGTGACCCAAATAGCTGGGATTACAGGTAGGTTCCATTAAGCCTGGCTTGGACATATGTTTTCAGCACTAAGAATATGTCTTCTGGGTCTCATGACAAACAAAACAAAACGTTTCTTGGTGAAATACATGAGGATAACATACAAATGATTGCTTTGTGTTAACTGATCCAAGTTACCTAAAAAATCATATTAATACAAAAGGTTATCTTTCATTTTCAGTTACTTATTTCAATTAATCATCTTTTATTTATTTCCCCTCTTATTTATAAATAATCAAAGGATATTAAATCACTCTATTAATTTTCAGAAATTAAGGGATAAATGCAAAGTAAAAAAGTCATATTTCTAGGCAGACTTTAACCCACTTGGTCTCCCTGGAGCTGGTGACTACAATTGTAGGATTTTGTTTTATATGCTCCAAGGGCTTTGCTAAAGAGGCTGGAATCATCTTGGTGCTCCAAAGAACTCAGAAATGCTATTTTGTCATGTCGGAAACTATTGGTCTAAACCAAGAGAAGAAACAACCACCCACTCTTAGCCATCTGACAAACTTAGAAGTAAAAAATCATATGAGAAATAGGAAATATGTCCTTGAGATTTTGGAATCCACTTTGCATGTTCTAACCAAATTTTCAATCAAGTCATTTCTTTACTAATGTGGAGAGGACTTAGTATTAATCAAATATCCGCCAGACTAGAGTGCTACTGGTGGCAAGTGTCAACACTTACCGTACAATGTAATCTCAATTATGAAGTG